CCAAGCCAGGACAAGAATACAGATGCCCAAATTCCAACCTTGGGTGGCTATTAACTTAACCACGCTGAGTAACTAGAATATTAGCTAGTTGTATTAACGATATTAACATTAGTTTCAGTTAGCCATCCTAAATAGTTGGGGAAAGATGAGCTAAAAGTTCAGGATCTGCAAATACTATGACTTTGTGTGTAAGAGAGGGAGAGCTTCAAAATGGCACCTCCTGAAGTTTTGGGTTTCTCATTTCTAGCTTGCATTCTCTCCTGGCAAGGAAGGCTGGAACGAGAATCGGTCGTAAAGGAAATGTTTCCCTGTTTCTCACAGATGTATTTCTGTGCCAAAGTCAGCTTCTACCTTTATAGCTAATACACATAAAAAAGAAAATATTTAGACAGGTACTTCACAAAAGTGTGGTTAGTTTAGGAAGTCAGAGGGTTCTAACTGCCCGCAAGAAAATGGCATGCTTTTCAAACAGCGTCAAGCCTTACACATCCCATCTGGTTGTACTTCGGTCCCACTCCTCACAGCAGCCAGGGTGAGTCTGTCCAAAATGGGGATGTGATTGCCTCTCTGTAGGGTTGAACGTTCTCAGCGGCTCCGCAGAAGAAAGCTCAGGCTCATTAGCCGGGCACAGTGCCTTTTGTGCCGTGGCTGCTGCTGACCACGCCAGCCTCATTTCCCTTCCCTCCTTTCAGCCTTCCATAATGTGCCTCAGCAAAAGCAGATCACATACAGCTGCTTCCCCTCTTACAGAACGCTTGGTGCGATGGTCCTAGGCCTTTGATTATGCCAGTTCCACTGCAGGAATGCTGCCTCTGCCTTCTTCACCCAGCAAATTGTTACTCATCCTTAAGGACTCACCTTACCCCAAAATTTCCTTGACTAGTCCCAGACTAGAGCAGAGGAGTCACATTATGCTGTATCTGTGAGTTTTTAAAAGCAAAACTCATTCATCTGTTGATGGACATTAAGGATGCTTCCATAACTTGGCAATTGTAAATAATACTGCTATGAACATTGGGGTGCATGTATCTTTTCAAATTAGTGTTTCTTTTTTCTTCAGATATATACACAGGAGTGGAATTGCTTTCTTTAGTTTTTTGAGAAACTGCCATAGTGTTTTCCACAGTGGCTGCTCCAATTTGCATTCCCACCAACAGTGTACAAGGGTTCCCTTTTCTCCACATCATCACCAGCATTTGTTGTTTGTGGTCTTTTTGATGATAGCCATTCTGACAGGTGTGAAGTGATATCTCATTGTGGTTTTAATTTGCATTTCTCTGATGATTAGTGATGATGAGCATCTTTTCATGGGCCTGTTGGCTGTCTGTATGTCTTCCTTGGAAAAATGTCTATTCATGTCTTCCACCCATTTTTTAATTGTTTGTTTGCTTTTTGATGTTGAGTTGTATGAGCTGTTTATATAATTTGGATATTAACCCCTTATTGGTCATATCATTGGCAAATATTTTCTTCCATACAGTGAATGGTAAATATATACAATAGAATACTACTCAGCCATAAAAAAGAATGAAATTTTGCCATTTGCAACAACATGGATGGACTTGGAGGGTATTATACTAAGTGAAATAAGTTAGAGAAAGGCAAATACTATATGGTATCACTTATATGTGGAATCTAAAAAATAAAACAAACTAGTGAATATAACAAAAAGGAAACAGACTCACAGATGTAGAGAACAAACTACAGCTACAGTGGGGTGAGGGAAGGGGGAAGGGCATGATGGAGGTAGAGATACAGAGGTACAAACCATTATGTGTAAAATAAATAAGCTACAAGGATATATTGTAAAACACAGGGAATATAGTCAAAATTTTATGATAACTATAAATGGAATATAACCTTTAAAAATTGTGAGTCACTATGTTGTACACCTGTAACTTATATACTATTGTACATCAACATATCTCAACCAAACGTTTTTTTTAAAAACTTAAAAAAAGCAAAACCCAACCATCATTGTCATCATCACCCCCCCAAAAAAATCATTGAGGGTCCCCTAGGTTCCAGCCACTGTTCTAATCACTTTACATTTATTCTCATTTTTAACATTCAAAACATCTCCGTAAAATATGAAATTAAATAAATTAACAAACAAAATCTCAAGCTCCCCAAATATAACAATGTCTGGAATATAGGAAGCATAGCAATTGCTCAATATTTGTAAAGCTGAATTCATAACTACTTTTCATTCATTGCTAAAAATAGGCTTTAATTTTAGAAGTTTTAGATTTATTCAAAAATTAAAAATATAGTGCAGAAAGTTCCCTTGCACCCCACGCTGTTTTCCCTGTTGTCAACATCATGCATGAGTTTCATATATGTAGTATTATTAATGAATGAACATGTATACATTATTATTAACTGAAGTTCATAGCTTATTCAGATTTACTTAGTTTTTTATCTTTTGTCCTTTCTGCTCTGGGATCCCAGCCTGGATACCACAATACATTTTGTTGCCATGTCTCCTTCGACTCTTCTTGGCTGTGACACTGTGCCATTTTCCTTGTTTTTAATGACCTTAACAGTTTTGAGGAGTACTAGTCAAGTATTTTGTAGGATGCTCCTTTTTTGGAATTTGATGCTTTTCCCATGACTGGTCTAGAGTTTCGAAAGGAAAGCCAGAGTGGTAGAGTGCCACTTCCATCATATCACATCAAGGGTTCTCATTGTCAACATGATTTATGACTGTCGGTGTTGACCTTGATCACGTGGCTGAGGTAGTGTTGTCAGGTTTCGATATTGTAAAATTAGTAATTTCCCTCCCTTTTCACATATTCTTTGGAACAAAGTCACTGTGTACAGACCAAACTTAAGGAGTCTGGAGTTATGCCTGCCCCTCCTTGAGGGCAGAGTATCTACGTAGTTGTTTGGAATTCTTCTACATAGGACATTTGTTCCTCTGCCTGAGTTATTAATTTATTTACTTAGGAAAGTGTGGACTCATGAATATTTATTTTCCACTTTGGGTTTTAATCCAACACTACGTAGCTCTGTTGCTTACATTGTTCCTGCTTTGGTGTTGAAATTTCTTTCATTTGGCTCCTTTGACATCTCCCCATTAGTTTGATCTTTTGAAATACTTGAGCCCTTCCTTACTTTCTGCTCCAGGCTCATTTTGCATATTTCCTGCTCTTAGCCTAGATTATTTCACCAAGAAGCCATGGTTCCTTAGAATGAATAATGGTGTTAGAACCCAAAATCCGGGTACTAGCTGTGTTTATTGCAACTGGAGTTTTTTTAGGTCTTCTCAAAATTTAGGTCTACTCAAAAATTGAGTAAAATTTTTTAAAATTGTGTGTATTATGTAAGTATGTGTGTACTAGCCCATGTGTATGTACATTTATATTAAGTATATAAACTCACATATGTACATATATATTTTTATCTGTAACCATCTGTGTCTATATCAAGCTAAACATGAGTTCACATTGATATATCCAACTTTAATCCATTATCACATGAATCTCTCTAGCCTCTTCACCTTGCTTATATGTAAATTTCCACCCCAACAGAGAGAAACCTAGTTCCCATCATCTGCCACCCATTTACTTAATCGTTGGCAGCATCAGAATCATTGGCCTGTAGCCCTCTGGAAAATTACTTTATCAACCTGAGTCCAGTGCTTACATGTCATCCTTTCCCTTTAATCTTGCAGACTTCACTCATTTCCAAAGTTACATAGGTCAGCACCTTTCCCTCCCACCCCCTTCAGTGAGGTTTTCCTACACATTTATAACACAATTGGACTTTTTTTTTTGTCCCAGTCTACATTCCTTCCTGGGGCTCCTCTGATTTCCTAAATGGTTTTTCTCATGCACAGGCATTAAGGGCCCTTCTTTGTGCCGAGCAGTTCTACTTGTCATTCCCTTTCCATCATCTCTTTATTCCCCAGTTATTCATTGTTTATAGCACTCCTATTTCACACACTCAAAAGTAAGTTGAATTAACGGACATTTAGTGAATGTCTCTAATGGCATTTAAAGGAAAACAGAAAGCTCAGAATCTACAGACATCCTCAAAGAGGAACGGGCTAGATGACCCTATCCGAGTTTGACATGAAACAATTCCTATAATAGAGACTTAGAGTTCACGCAGAGTCTCCGGCCCCCAGGCGTAGCGGCATCCCGGGACAGACAGGTCCTTTTCCGGCCATAACACTGAGGGGCAGTTCTAAGGGCCCCACAGGAGGATGAGATGGACTAGTAAGACTGACTCTGGAGCCACACGCAGACTCCCAGATGGAAGGCGTTCCCTTTTGTGCCCTTCCCACTCCGCAGGGTTGCTTTAGGACTCTCTCCCCCAGAAGCTCACACAAGCACAGGGGGATTCACAGCCAGCACTGGCAATGAGCCTTCGTCATCACCATCGTCATGCGGGACATTTGAGCAGTTATGTTACGTTTGTCTTCACAGAGTACTTCTGTTTGTTCTTCCTCTTGTCATTTTCATGCCCTCCTGGCAAGTCTTACCAGGTGTATGGGCATTCCCATTTTACAGGTTAGCAAGTTGAGGGAGAGGGAGCCTGGTCTCCTGTTGGCACATAGTGAGGACAAGGGACTCCATCTCAGAATCCAGCATTCTCCCCACTCCTCCAAAGTGACTCTTGCCATTTCCATCGCCCTTGACTTCTCTGGGGATAGAACCCCAAGTAAAGCTAAACTTGAACCTGAGGCTTTGTGTATGAGCTTCTTTGTTCCTGTGAGAATTCGAACTAGAGGCACTGAGGTGTCAGGAAGGACTTTACAATTCTCCACAGGTGCGCTAGACCCAGAAGTTATTTCAAGGACAAGTGGTCTTTGGCCTCCTTTGGGAAAGCAAGCAGATATTTCCATTAGTTTTCCCAAGTCGTTCTTAGGTATTAATGTTTTCTCATATCTAGCATCACTTTTAAAATACCCAGGGACTAAGAAGCATAGGAGCTTCTGCACAGCCAGGGCAGGTGGTGTTCACTCCATTCCCTCTTTACTTGCACACACTTACTCAGAGCTTCTTCACTCTTCTTTTACACAGAATTCAAATGTCCATAAGTGCTTGGTCTCCTGTCCCACGGCCTGTTAGAAACAGGAACTGGGAAGAGAGAAGAGCGGGCAGAAGTACTGGGCATTAAGGATTTAAAATGGGAAGCCATCCAGCAACATCTGGTTCAGAGGCAAAGGGTGTCCGTTCACCTCAGTTTCCCCCAATGGCACTGGTTCATTTAACTGCAGTGGCATCATCTGTGCTCAGAAAGATGTTTCCAAATTACTTTTTAAATAAAAATAATGTCTTGTATATTCTACTTGAAACGATGGTGATTTAAAAAAATATATTTTCATTTAAAATGATTCAAATAAAATAGGTAAACATTTCCATGTTTAAAGTAGGAAAGCCTTAAATCTATGGGAAGCAAGATTACCCAGTATAACTCATTAACTCAGTAAACATTTACTGTATATAAATTGAACATCAGGAACTGGGGATAGAGAAATAAATAATATTGATCCCTGTCGTCAGGAAGCTCAGCATCTCATTTGAGAATCTGCCTTTGGGGGTCTGGATTGCTGAGGTTTCTACAGTATAAAAGGCTGATGGTTAAGTCCTCCCTGCTCGGATGGTCTTCCAGGACTGCTAGGAGTGAGAACCACCTCCAAGGTGTCAAGGTTTGAGAAGGAACAACAAGATGCATTATTAAGGGAGGAAGGGAAGAAGGAATGGAGGCAGGGAGTGAGGGAAGGAAGGACAGAGGGAAGGAAGAAAGAAGGGAAGAACACTGCTATCCTGCTGAATTTGGGCAGATAAAAAAAGAAAAAGGATCTTCACCAAAAACTTCTACCCTGGATCTGGGTAAACTTAAGCAAATGCTATAAATAAAAGGGTAATTTTACAGACTCCATCTCTTTCGTGATCAATAAGTAAGCAGTGTAGGTGTGAGTATCCCAATTTTGCGTAGGAAACTGAAACCTCGGGAGTCTAACCATCCCAGCCAAGCTCGGAGCTTGGACAGTCAGACCCGGTTGAGGCAAGACATGCATGAGTCCTGGTCTGTTCCGTTTAGTGTGAAATCCCAGCACCCTTCATTAGGCAACACTGTCTTCAGTCAAAGGATATTGGACTGGTCAGAGAAATGTCTACAATAACATGCTACCCAGAAAAAGAAGGAAAGAAGGAAGGAAGAAAGAGAGAGAGAAAGAAAAAAGAAGCATCTTCAGGGTCACTTTTCCAGGAGAGGCTGTGCTCACCCCTCCTTCATCCATGACCGGGTTTCCAGCATGTCCCCATGTGACATGCCGCTCTGTCAGTGAGGGTTGCGTGTTGATCTGTCACACTTCAACTGGGTGACTGGAAGAGAGTTTAATCCAGAGAACACCGTGTGGGAAACCTACAGGCATGTGCAGTGTACGGTAGCCCGGGGCTGGAAGCAGAAGAGAGAGAATGCTGACAGCAGGGGGCCTCCTGACTGGAGTGTGACCTTCCTCCGAGGGGCTGACGTCGGCCGTAGCGACCCCCAGCAACAGAATCAGGGGACTAAATACCACATACCACAACCTTGGCTTCATCTCTCTCTCCTTTCCATCTCCTGATGGGTTACCCATTGGCCAAACCCAGCCAGAGACTGGACATTAAGGGAATCCCCTGGTGTGGACCACAGAGGTCAAGCACAGAGCAGAGTGAAAAGGGAAAAGCACACCTGGAGAGGCAAATACACCCATTCCGGCCACCCCAATGCATCCCAACTTGGAACCAACTTAAGTCAGTATCAAAGGATGCTTTCCTGTTAGGATCCTTCCTAGCACAGCCCTCCAGGTAGCTAAGAGCATTGATGGAAACTGGCCTAGAGGTTGGAATACATCTGTCATCCTTGTCTTAACCCAAGCCTGGACCTTGTTCCTTACTCTTCTTTGGTTGGTTTGATCATTTTGATGTCAGTAATGTCTCATAATTTTTTGAAAGGTGATCTCAACCTGTGTTTGCTAGGACCACGCTATAAACAACACTTTGTGGATGTAAAATATCTGGGGAGATAGTAATGCTGTCATGGAAGAAGCACTGGACTTGATTTTCAAAATCCTCATACCTTACAAACTGGGTGACCTTAGACAAGGCAGGTGCCTTCTCAGAGCCTCAGATCTCACTCATGGAAGTTAGGAATGATAAAGTTACCTCTCCGGATGGTACAATTTTGACAGTCTAAGGGCACAAAGCAAAAACATAAATGTGTGTTGCATCATACACAGAAAGTCATTGATTTGTTTCCATTTATTATTTTTCAGTAAGACAGTATCATGATCAAGAAGTCAAGCTCTAGGTCAGAAAACAAGGCTTTGAACCTTGGCTCTGGGACTTCTTAGCTGAGTGACAAGAAGCAAACGTCATAATCTTTCCAAACCTCAGTTTGCTTATCTGTAAAATAGGCCGAACTAGAGCACCCATCTCCCGGGCCCTCATTGACTGGTTCATGAGAAACCTCAGAAAGAATAGCCACGGGCACTAGTTACGGCTGCATCGTCAGAGATGCAAAGGCCGCCTTCGCAGCAGTGGGCAACTCATTCCTTCACCCACCGGGACTTACTATGCCTGGTAGTTTTTAAGATGTATGATCTAAGTGGGGATGGACTTCGATAGGCACCTCTGCTTCTGCTGAGCCCACAGACATACACAGAATTAACCTCCTGAGTGCCGCTCCTGCCCAGCGCTCCTCCTGAATCACGTTTACTTGGGCTTCAGAGGCTTGACTTTAGTTTCGTGACTTCCCACGTGAGCTGACCGAACTCACAAAGCCTGAGTCAGGGAGGATGGTGCACCTCCTGTTTCTGCTGCTGAAAAAACTTCGTTTTCCTGGGTCTCATCCTTTGATAGACAGACAGATGGACAGACGGATGGATGGATAGACAGGTGGAGAGATGGATGGATTTACACTAAACAACCCACTCCAGTTCATTTGCTTCTTGAGTTCCTTCATCACTCGTCACACCTGGAAGGTATGTAACAAACACAAAAGAACACACAAACATCAAGTGCCTACTGTGTGCCTGACACCAGATGTATATTTAATAAGTTCTGGGTATTTTCTGAAACAAGGGGTATTTTCCATAATGTGTTCCCCAAACCTGGCCCATGCATCTGTCTCCCACAGAATGGAAGCAACTAACATGACTCTCACCTTTGCTAAGTACTGAACTGGACCTAAAGGTGCCCGAATTCCAGATGGACACACATTGCTGAGCTTTGAGTCATACTTAATTTCCTAAAATGGGAAGAGAGGATTAGTTGAGTGAAGGGCTTTGGTATAAAGAGCCACACATATGTCTTCTTGGCCAATGTCTGCTCTTTCTCCAGTCATTAGCGTTAATGCCAGTGCAGGAAGGGAGCAGCAGGGGCGAGCGTTGCTTTTCCCCCTTAGAACAACAGGGGGATGTGCTGCCGATAAGAGGCATCGGGTGTTTGGGCTTTTGGAAAGGGAAATAGAATTGCTATATACACGTCAGCTTGATCTGGGAAGCCTGACAGTGCTCCCCCTGCCCCCATCTCGTAATTCTGATTACTACCAGACCGAGATCTGTCTATCAGTGCCGAGTGCTCTTTGCAAGAAAGGTTTCCTTTTGAGGGAGGGGGCTGGCCTTAGTTTGCCAGTAGAAGGCTATTATCTTGAAACAGCTGTTTATGGTTAACTGCAGCCCATACTTAAAGCCTGAAGGCTGGGGCCTTACTTAGTGCCTGTGGATTTGTGGTGAACAGAGTCAGGTTTAACTCTTTCTTCCCCTGTCCTTGATGACTTCAGTGGGGACCTGGGATGGAGCAGTCTGTGAACAAAGAGGGAGGATGTGGGGGGGAGGGCCACAGCGGACAAGTGGATCAGCTGTTTCTAATGATGGTAAATACTGAGATTTTACTGTATGTAAGGGATGCGTTGAGCCCTTTGTATGTATTTTTTCAGTGGATTTTGACTGCTGTGCTCTGCTCTGGTGTTGATGATTCTGCCCATTTCACAGGTGAGGCTCAGTCAGTGAATGCCAGGATTCAATCCACGTGAATCCAGTCACAGACAGAGGACGTAACCCCTACCAATACGCTGTACTGTCTCCTGTTAACCCGGAGCCTTAACTGAAGATACTCTGTGTGTCCTGCACTGTGTGGGGCTGTTGATTCTGAAGAGAAAGTCTCCACCCCAGAGGGGTCTCAGGCTGGCCACAGAGGTGAGCAAATACAGGTACACTGAGAATGCAGAAAAGCAGTGAGAACTACAGAGATTTCTTGTCCTCTTTAGGGTGGCGAGAGTAGGTCAGGACCCAGAGGTATTTAAAGAAGGGCAGAGTTTACCTTAAAAAAAAAAGCTGATGTCAAGAAGGGAACACAGCTGCAAAAAATAATGAGAGTGGGTGGGAAGAGAGAGACAGAGAAACAGAAAAGGGGAGAGAGGAAGGGGAAAGGGGGAGAGAGGGGGGGGCTCCGAGCTGAGGGGAGGGGCTGTGACAGGTACAGCCCGGACCCCAAAAGCACCTTGGCTGCTCCGCCGGGAACTTAGCCTTGAGTCTCCAGGAAATGGGCGACAGGCTAGTCAGATCTACATGTTAGAGAGATGACGTTGGCTGCAGCAGAAAGATGTTTCGGAGGGAGCAAAAGAGAGGAGATGAGAGAAGTTAGGACATGGGATGATCGCCCAGGAGGAGGGGCATGGCCAGGACGACGGAGAAGGGCAGCTGGGACTGAACTCAAGGGATGTGGCATCGCAGGTCAGAACAAACAAGCAGTGTGCGGCTTCCTTGGCTCGCTGAAGACTAAAAAGAGGTTAAATTTTCCAGCGGAAAGTTGGAAGGAACATTGTTCAAACCACTAACTCAACCCCAAATGACATACATTCCTGAGGGTTGCAGATGGTAATCAGTAGCGTTGGGGGTGGTGAGTGAGACTACACACACACACACACACGCACTTTCATTTTCTCAGCACGTCTGGAATTTTTGTTCTCCCTTTGTTTGACTCCAACATCTTTCCTGGTGACAAAGAAAACCAAAGATTTTGAAATCCATTGTTGAGCACAAAGAGAGGCAGGGTCGGGGGCTGTGGGGGGAAAAGTTGGCCGACTTGGAACTGTGTTCTCTGCCTTGGTGCCCAACAATTCGCAGTGGGAGAGAGAGTGGCTTGCCAAAGGGCTCTCTGTGACTGTGCTAAACCAGAAGAATATGTCAAGTCCAAGATGAAAAGACAGCCCTCCCATCTGAAAGCCGAGCTGGGAGCTAATGGAGCTGGGGAAAGGGGCCTTTTCAAAGAAAAGTGCTTATTTGCAAACTCGCTTCTTTGCAGCAGACGCTCCCAGGACCTCTGGCAAAAGGAATTCCTGGACACAGGCCTTCCCATTGAGCTGTTAGTGATCTGCGGTTAATTACCTCTCGCCAGGCTCCGTTCTGCAGCTGATCTGCAAGGCAGCTATAGAGGTCTGGGGTGGAGGTTTTGCCCTTGTAATTCCAACAAAGTTAAAGTCTTACCACGGTGGAGCTGGAAGAAATCTTACTTTTCCTTCTGCTCTAAATTCCTAATTTTTGCAGTGGCAGGAGTTGTGGTTCAGACGAAGCAGAAAGACAGGCAAGGCTACAAGGGGAGACCTTGGGTCTGGGGCATGAGCTGGGTGTGCCCCGCATGCTGTGAGGATCGTCCAGGGAGATCCCGACGGCCACTCAGCAGGCTGTGCCCGGGCTACAGGAGGGAGGCAGGGTGTCCCTGCGACTTACACAGATTTGCTTCCACAGGCCCGACAGGCTAAGGCTACTCCCAGCACTGCTATCCCCAGTATCTTAGGTAGAAATAAAACACAGCAAACTTCCCCTGAAAAAGACGGTGCCTCAGACTGGTCAGGGCTCTCCAAAGATACATTCAGATTTGTTTTAAGGAACTGGCTCATGTGATGTGGTGTCTGGCAAGTTTGAAATGTGTAGGGCCGGCTGGAGAGTTGGATTAGAGCTGACATTGCAGTCTTGAGTTCAGATTCTGGAGGGCAGCAGGCTGACAACTCAAGTTCTCTCATTTGCGGTCTTGAGAATTCCTTCAGCGTGGGGAAGCCTCTGTCTTTGCTCCCAAGGGCTTCAACTGATTGGATGAGTTCCACTTACATTATGGAGGGTAATCTACTTTGCTTAGCGTCTACTGATTTAAATGTTAATGACATCTAAAAAAAAAATCTTCACAGCAACATATGAACTACTGTTTGACCAAACAACTGGATACTATAGCCTAGCCAAGTTGGCACGTAAGATTAGCCATCACAGAAGGTGTTACAGAAGGGTCCAAAATATGCCAACAATCTATATTGTGAGGTGCTGGGGGTGAAGTCTCTGTCAGGGCGTGTTTATCCTTCTTTCCCTAACGAGAGTTTCACTCATGCCACTTTAGGTCTACCTGCATCTCCACCCATTTCTTCATCCCTAACCTCAGCATTCTAGAGGATTAACACCTGTGCCCAGTCTAGACTTCCTACCCATTCCAAAATGCAAACTGAAAGTAAATCAGTAAATCGCGAGAGGACGAGCAGAAGCCAGGACTCCACTTCTACTTATTTTATTGTTTTTGTTGTTGTCATTGTTGTTGCTTTTCATGTTTTTGTTTTGTTTTGTTTTCTAACCCAGAGATGACACCAGGAGAGAAAAGATCTGGGAATACATGAATTCAAAACAAATACATAAAAGTTAGAACTAAAATGTTACTCTATCTCATTCTAAAAAAGGATGTATCACTT